TTCACAAGGCTTTTAATGTCAAATAAAATGCCTGCAATCTCGTTCAGCTCCGAACCCGAGTTAAGGGTCTTAATGAGGACTTCGCAGTCCCAATACACATGGAAGTCCATGATTTCAGCTGAAATCACCTTCCGAAGGGCTGATCTTAGTGCCAACGTCTCTGTAACTAGAGCTGAGGGGATGAAGTAACTGCTCTCTGATCCTTGAATGATAGTTACTCCACTAGTGTCTTGAATAATCCATCCCATTCTGCCTTGTCGAGTTTCTGATTTCCATGCTCCGTCGATAAAACACTTGAAACGATCTCTGGTAGCGTCTTCTACTGCTTGTGGAGGCCTTTGTGGTCGTACTTTAACTTGTTCATTTGCCGCTTGCCATTCCTTTGCCTCTGTGATGGCTTTTGTCCTTAAGCCTCTGTTTTCAAACAAAAGAGAATTTCTTGCTGTCCATAGGTTCCAAATTATCCACGGGAACTTTGCAATGGAGGTGTTCTTAGTCTTTAGGCGTTATTTGTAATTGTATCGTACTTGGTCAAAAAATTAAAGTTCCCGGAATTTTTGGATAGTTAATAGATATAACAAAATTTGATTACTTGTTTGCTGTTGCCGGTGAGTGTTATGTAATGAAATGACTAATGAGTATTAAGTATCAACTATACTTTATGTTACCATCCAAACTAATATATATATTACTTGTTTTATTATTAGTTGATCTAAGATATCCGAGTATATATTGACATTAGATACATAAATATGCAATTTAGAATATTTCAATATTTGATTTATGTGATCGAACGTATAGATGTAAAGAAAATGTTATCAAAAATATTCATAAATCCAATGTATATACCAAAGAGAAATCCGGATATAGCAAATCAGATTATTACATCCACAAAAGTTAATATTTGGACATAATAGATTTGGATTTATTTGAATATGTGAGAGATATATGATTTTTTTTTGTTTATCAAAGAAAATAATAATAATCATATATCTCTCACATATGATATATGAATAGGAAAAAAAAAATCATATATCTCTCACAAATGATTATATGAATAGTAATATCTATATAACGGTTGGTAATTTGCACTATTGTTATCAAAAGTGTTATCAACCACATTCAAATCCAAATATTGAGTTTATCTTACGTATGCAAAAATTAGCTTGGCATTGCATTTATACGCTCACTGTTCATACTGAAATCAAAATTACTATTTTATATTCCTTAACAACTTTTCAAGTACATTATTTTGTTTGGTTTAATCTTTAACATGAAAGATAAAGACATTTATTTTCTCTTTTTATGATTATTAGATGAACATGAAGATCTTCAACAGTTAACAAACTCGTAGTTGACAATTAAGTGACCACGAGCGATTCCCTGACCATTAGTATCAAGCTGTCTGAAAACGCCTTCTTCTAAGTCCAAACCACCGTTACTACACTGATCCACAATTCTTACCGTCGCTTGCGTTCCCGTCCCGGTATTCGTCACCTGCGTTTGCGTTTTTTATGTTTTTGCATATTAATTAACAATTCGTTTTAGACATAAAAATATTAGATGGAATGAAAAGCGCGTTTTCAAAACGTGATTTTTAAAAAATAGAATAAAATATTTAAGTGGCATACCCTTAAACATCTACCGCAAGAGTCACGACCACGCGGTCCAACCGGACCGCAAAAAGCTGTCCAGCCGTATCTCTGACGCCACTCAAGCGGTTGATTCCCATCCCACGTCGCGCAATACGCGCTTACTCGGTAAAGATCCCAGTTGTTTTGGGCAGGATTGTAGATATGGTAAGTTGATCTTACGTTGGAAGCGGATTGAGCGGCTGCTTTAGCCGCAAACACACATAGCAACACAAACACACATATGCTAACTCTTGACATTCTTTGTGTATTGTTGGGTTTTCTTTAATTTAAATTTGTGATGGATAGAAATAAAGAATTGATGAAAGTCTATTTATAGAAGACTATATACTATGAAATTACTAGCTTGGCCTAATAACAAGTTTGGACCGTTGTGTGTGATTTTCTTTGGCTTTGATTTGAATATTCAATGTACTTACTATTCTTGGGAGACGTTTCTAGTCGTTTATTATCACGTTCGGTTGAACTTTTCTCAATTTTAAGTAATGTTGGAGAAAAGATTTAAAAAAAAAAAACATACGGAATAATAAACTGAGTACGTAGTTTATTTTTCATCTGTAATATAGATGAAATTTTTCATTTATGCAAGTACAGTTGTATGCTAGGGTTTAGGGTTCATTAATAGAAAATTGTTTAAATCAATTTACATTTAATTCTGACTTCAATACGATCTTTTCATGTACTAATTTCCGTAGAAGGAGATACTCAAATCAAATATCGAAAAATGTATGCTACATGTACCCGAAATTTCGTGAAGAAAAGTGAAAAATGCAAATTGTTTTTTCTTTCAAATTATGTTTTGATAAAAAACAATATTTTGTTTCAAAGTAATAAGTACCTAAATACAGGGGAAATAGAGGACTTACCAAGTTAGCATTAGT